TAGGAGTCAGAGAGCAATTAGCTGAGGAAGAGGAAAGAGAGAGAGAGGAAGAGATATGTAGACATGCTCTCAGGTATAGATGCTGTGCTCCATTCAGAAATAATACTGCTCAACAACAAAGATCTGGATTTAGTTATACATAGCAAAACAATGACAGGAACATTCATTATCAGATGTAAAAAACAATTCTTGAGAAATGTGAAATATATTGTTTTCTGTTCATTAGTTGTTCAATTAGGAGATTCCAAAAGGTTCTGCAAGCTCTTGTTATATAACACTCACGATGAATGTGAAGTTATAGTGGCTGCAGACATTTACTTCTGACACCAGTACTGTCACACTGATACCCTTGTGGGCCTCTAAGTAGCTCTGGAAAATGCTGTTTGCACACAAGGACTTGTAGAATGTGTTCAGGGCCCCACTAGAAAAACAACTACCTTTTCTGGCATTGATGAGCCAAAGATTTAAATGTTGTTGTTTAATATGTATGCATGATTTAGGACTGCTGTTGTTTATTCATGTTTTTCTACGTTTATACTGTAGATTGAATAATATGTGTGTATCCTGGGTTTCAAAGCAATGATTTTATCGTATTTACTTGTGAAATAATATGAACAGACTGTCAAAATCCTGCCCTTGACATTGTGCCAGTAATTCAGTTCGCCATGGTATACAGATGTACTGGCTATTGCTTATATGTTAAAATACATTGACAGAACTCTCCTCTCACTACCACAGAGTATCGATTACAATAAAACATAATATGTTGCTTGCACTCAAAGATGGTGCAGTGCTGTGTATCACAAAACAAGGGCTTTTGTGAGCTCCTCATTTTAGTTATAGTACTGTGAGGATATCCAGAATACATCTGTTTTGTCTAGAATTGCAATGCTTTTGGTAGCTGTTCAAATCTGTTTAATTGAAATAATTATTTACTTAGGTGGTCCTAGTTATGATCTTTCAGTTCTCTTCAGTTGTAGAAGGTGAAGATAGAGAACAGATCTTGTAATAAGGTCACATCATTCCCACTGTCTGTCTTATTTACCATCTGCTGGTGAAGTACTGTTTGCTTCTCTGCTCCCCAAATAAGCTAATGAAGACCCAGGTGTTCACTGCTAATTAAATTTTGCTCCCAGGAGTCTCCACATGGCATGAGATCTGAGCACAGAAAGACAAAGAAGCAGCAGTGTAATAGATTTTAAAATGAAAGAAAAGTACTAAGTTATCTAGCATAAGTAAATTTATCTAAATACATTTAAAGATAACTTTTCAGTCATTTCACAATGGTATAATACCTTTTTTACTTTGCAGAATTGAAATGTAATGATAATTTTGCACTTTATATGTGCTGGAAAATTGTTCCCGAGCAGAAAATAACCTAAGGCCAAAACCCAGACACACCAACCAGATATAATAACATATTTTACATGTTAATTACATTATGCATGCATAATTTGAAAACTCAATATTATAGTAATGTGCTGCATAAAAATAAATCACTGACTGAATAACAATAGATGACAGTACTGTTTAATAATGAATTATTTATTAATGTTTTGCACTTAATTTTAACAACATGTATTCATAATTTCTTCTCATTTTCCTTTTTATGTTTTGAGTTTCAGAAATAAATAATAATTCAAATGTAAGCATTCTGCACCGTTTTTAACAGCTGTTTTATCTCGCTTGCTTGAAACCCAAAACAGCACCTCCTGGTGGGAAATCTGAAGAAAAATATTTTCTGCAGTGACAGCCAAAAAGACATCAGACAAGAAAGAACACATTTCTGGACATGCAAAAGAGCTAACAAAAGGTTTCCCTTGTTAATGATTATTTGCTAAAAAATCACAAATATTAAAAAACAGCTACTACCATAGGGCACTTTGAACTTCATTTGAATTTGTCGTTTTTTTATTCCCTAAACTTCTAAAAGTCAATTGAGAATAAATTCTAATTTAGAGCTTGCACCTGAGAATCCATTACTATCCCATGTGCTTAGTTCAGCAGTATCCTCTCTCTGTCTGGTCCAGATCCCTAACCATCACTCTGTGCTGCAGCATGAAGTTGTGACAGTTGTCAAACATCTGTAAGTGGTGTTCAGGCAGATCAGTCTTTCAACACCTGAAGAGTTGCAGCTGAAGTCCATCTCACACTCCTTATTACAGTAGTTATCTTACATCCCTCTGGGTCATTCAGTAACCCCTCAGACCCATCATTTTTTTCAATGATTTCCCTTCACACGTTTTTCATTCTAAATATGTCTATTAATTAAAATACCTATTACATTTTTTTTAGTTTAAAATTCTACCGTTGAACCGTTTTAGCACATTTTTACTAAGTGCTGAGATGACACAGTGCTTCCGGAAAATATTCTGAAAATAAACAATGGTACAATAATATTAGTTTAAAGTTTAGAAATTGAAAGTGATTATCTTGGACTGATAATCACTGTGAAATGTCATTTTTCTAATATCCTTGAAAATTACAATAAGAGCTCATGGATACTTTCTAAAACACCTTAATATAACTAATTTAAATAGAGAAGTGCTTCAACTGACAAACAATGTATAGAGTTGTAACTCCAGTGTTTTATTTTTCAATTCCAGTGTAATCTCTAAGTATTGGAGTGCCATATTTAAAACAAAAGTTATAATTTGGGAAGTGTTCAACCTCTTAGTTGTTTGTGAACTCATTATAGCAAGTATACTGATGTCTACAGAAGTGCAAAAACAGGTTGCTATATCCATTAGAGATCGTGTAATAACATCTGTTAAAAAATACCATTCTATTCCATCACTTTTGCAGAAAGATAACACGTCACACAAGCGGATGTTTCAGTGACAATGATCTTGGATTGCATCACATGCGACCTGCTCTTCCAGTGAGTTCACAGGGCCCTGATCATGGCCATCGTTTCCCCGATCTGGGGAAGATATAGAAAAGATAAGGTGTCGCCTTTGAAAATTGTAAAGGGGAGAACTGAGGCAGATCATAGCAGTGCTGACTAGCTTTCCAAGAACTGAGCAAGAGAGGATAGATGGAAATTTTCAATGGCCAGTTGCACGCCAAAACTAGTAATTGTTTTGGTTTCAGAGAGGTTTTTCAACGCATGTAACAGATTACCCTGAGGTATGATCAAATGAATGCTGAATGATGAATGATGCTGAAATGAAATTTATTGTGTAGGAAAATGTTTCTCACCCATGGGTTGGTTTTATTGCCGACTTTCCTTATTAGTCTGGGAGCAGGGGGGGTTAAACGAAGGTCACATTCGAAGTTTGCAAAGTGGATCCTCTCTTAAATTCCCTGAAGGTTCAGGTTTAATTAAGCAAAACTTATAAATTCATGGCAGATTAAGAGCTGACAGGACAAATTGAAGATTCAGAATGAATGTTCGGTATTCCTGGCACCTTGTTCCTCTGGTGTTCTGTTGGCTGGGAGCTGGAGAGGAAACATGTGAGCTCAGAGCAGACTTCGGGATGATAAGAGAGCATAAAAAGGGGGATGTTATTCTTGGAGGGATGTTTCCTATTCATTCCAAAAGTATCAATGAGGAAAAGACATACCAGCAGAAACCAGGAAAGCAACAATGTAGAGAGTAAGTTAGGTGCAAATGTCAATCTAAAGAAATCAAATTTTATATGTCTGCTTTCGAACTGTTTACAATAATGGTGTAGTGCTTGCAGTTTGTACATAACAGAATTTGTACATTGTATAATTCTTTAATATACATCACAATATTCTGTTGTCTGGTTTCTGATCATTTATATTGTAAATGTAGGAGTACTAAATTCAACACCAAAGAAAACACAACTCCATCAATGATACACAGTGTCCGTAATGAAGCTTCAAGCTAAAAGCAAATGGGACTTCTCTAATGCTTCAGGTAACGCAGAATAAAAAATTGCAGTACTAAAACCTTACTGAGGGTGTGGAATGTGTGTCTCAGATTTAATTTCAGAGCCTTTCGCTGGATGCAAGCAATGATCTTTTTCATAGAGGAAGTAAACAGAAACAAGGCTCTCCTGCCCAACATCACACTTGGCTACAGTCTGTACGACTCGTGTGCTTTAGAACCCCAGGCAGTCAAGGCGACATTATCGATGCTAACTGAACCTGCGCACGAGAGAGAGGAGGGGTGCAGAGACGTACCTTCGGTTCCTGTTGTAATTGGCAACTCTGGGTCTTCTCTCACTATTGCAGTCTCAAGAGCACTGCAGCCATTCAGAGTCCCGTTGGTGAGTGTGCTGGAAATAATCTGAATCCCTACAGCGCCAGGAGCTGCCTCCTCCTCCCCCCCTCTCCTGTTCGGCCTGAGGAAGAATAATTCAGGAAGAAAACTGCTTTCCTGGAGCAGTGCAGGGAGAAACACTGCAGCGGTAACTGCAGTTCAGTTTGTTCTCAAAGAAAAAGACTGCAGATGCTTAGACATGGGAAACGTTGTGATTCCTTGATTCGGCATGTGCATATCAGAAGCTAAACTGATGTTTGATCCTTTCAAAATCTTTTATATTCCTTTTGATTGTAGGTGGAATGGGACTCAATCAAGAGTACTGGGATTTTTACTTTGGTCTTACGGACAGTTTGTAAACATTTCAAGATGCATCATTTACATATTTAAACATATACTGTAGGTACTTTTAAAAACAATAAAGGTGATAAGTTCAGCCTGAGGCAATGGAATGGTAATACATGCTACATTTCTATTTAAAAAAGGAAGCACAGCTGTCTTGTTAAGATCCCAGAGCTGTCAGCGTGACCGTGTGACATCCATTCTGTGGGATTCAGTGAAAGCTGTTCTTTCTGCTCTGACACTCTTGCCAAATTGTTTGCTCATTCTTGACAAGGACCATAGGGCTGAATGTACAAATGTAACAAATGAGCAAACAAAACAACAAATCTAAACCATCTACAGAATGCAGAGATGACAGGGAAACACTTGTGTCGGTCATAAATTTAATAATGTACTAAATGGAAGTATAAAAACAATATAAAATACAGATGCCAAACTGAATGTTAAAGAAAATTTACGTAAATTTACGTAAAAAAAAGAAACTGGTTTTGCCACAGGTGTCGGGCAAAGCTTAAGGTTATCACTTTTTCTGAGGTTAAGGTGATGGTGAGGGTTACTCTTTGGGATTCCTGATGTATGTCATTTTCCAAGAAGTTAATTTTGCATGTCAGTCCATCAGACAGGGTAAGTGCCAAAAAGGGGGATACCCTTTGGAATTTTCCCAGCTACTCTTAGAAAACTAGATTGTCCCGGGTGAAACTAGAAGCGCCAGACTGCTGGATTTCATCCTTAGCATGTAAAAAGAATTCTGCTGTATTACAGCTGTTCACACCTTCCCCAATACACATACTTTACAGGTAAGGCACACCGCCTCCTGATGCTGATTTCAAATAACCTGAGTAGACAGAAGACTATATTTCTTTTCAAACTTGCTCCTTTTTCAAATAAACACATTGTGGATTGGGTTGGCAGACTTTGCGCCTTCAGGTTTTGTTATAGGGAAAGTCTCACTCTTTTCTATACAGGTCAGCTACTTTGCATCCTGTGCCTGCCTGAGCAACAAACACAACTTCCCCAACATTTTCCGGACAATTCCAAGCGATGTGTACCAGATGCGGGCCTTGGCTCACCTTATTCATCGCTTGGGCTGGACCTGGGTCGGCATTATTGCATCAGACGATGACTATGGCTACCTAGGCACTCAAATTTTGAGTGAGGAAGTGACAAAACTGGGGTCCTGTATCGCCTACAGACTGGTGATTCCAAGGGTGCTGTCAGAGAAGAAGACCTTTGAAATTGTGAAAAAAATCAAAGAGTCCACAGCAAGAGCTATTGTGGTGCTTTCCATTGAGGCTGAAATATACCCTTTGATTGAGGAAATTGCACACCAGAACATCACTGACAGACAGTGGGTAGCCGGTGAAGCATGGGTCACCTCCACCTTAATCTCTGACAACAAAAACTTTCATTTCCTGAGAGGCACAATAGGGTTTGCTCTTCGGAAAGCAGAAATGCCCCAATTGAAAGACTTTCTTTTCAAGCTTAGCCCGCTGGAAAAAAACGTTAATCAGTTTGTGAGAGAGTTTTGGGAAACGCAGTTTAAGTGTTCATTTAATGAAACAGGCACCTCTGAGTTTAATACCTCTGCAACTACAAGGAGGTATTATGATCAAACCTGTACTGGAAGGGAAAATCTAGAGAAATCGAAAAGCATCTATGGCGATGTTTCAAACCTGAGGGTGACCTATAACATCCACAAAGCTGTGTATGCTGTAGCCTATGCTCTTCATAAACTACAGGCCTGTGAGCATGGGAAGGGGCCGTTTATTAACAGAACTTGTGGGGATATATATAACCTCCAATCATGGCAGGTAATGTTGATAGAAGCTTTCAAGTGCTTCTGAGACAACATCACAGACATTAATAAAGATTAAGGTGTAATTAAAGACATATTGACTTAAAATCTTTTGGTCCTCCAGGTTGCTCACTATCTAAAAGAAATTAATTACACCAACGAATTCGGTGATCAGGTGTATTTAGATCGCAATGGTGAGCCAGTGGGAACCTATGACATAATAAACTGGCAGGGAAATTCTGATGCCTCCATTAAATTTGTGACAGTTGGGCTCTTTGATGCATCTCTTCCTCAAGATCAACAGCTTCTCTTCCATGAAGAGGAAATAATTTGGAGTGGAGGTAAAAGAGAGGTACTGTGATCCCCCTGCAACAAGAGGCTGATTTGTATTCAATCATATATTACACAATATATTTCTATTTTGTTCTAGTACAAAAATTAAATTTCTAGTGTGATAATAATCTATTCTCATTCCATTTCTTTTGTGAAACAACTTTGCACTTTGATGACATTGCTTTCTAAAATGAACTAAAATCAGAATAGAAAAACTTTTTTAACAGTGTCCCTTCTTGAAAAAAAAAGAAAAAATAACAATGCGTGTTAAAGAGGTAAGGAAAGGAGCCTCATACAGTATGTAAATGCGTATTTCCAAAACAAAAATATTACTTCCAGTGTATCATCATGCTTTTCAGTAAAATATTTAATTTATTCTTCAGGCCTTTTTTTTTCTGGTGGGATAATGTGCTGCCAGTGATTTACCAAACCTTTGTGACTTTGTGACAGAGTTTTTGCGAATCTTTATGACAGGTTCCCAGGTCAGCGTGTACAGAAAGCTGTCCTGTCGGCTACAGAAAAGCTGCCGGTCTTGGACAACCAGTTTGCTGCTACGACTGCGTCCCATGTGCCGATGGCACCTTTAGCAATTCCACAGGTAGATACGAATCACTTCTGCGCTGAAGTGTTTGTTTCCAGGTGCCCTAGATGAGACAGTTTCCTTTCCCCTCAGATCAAGCAGAATGTGCTCCCTGCC